TAGATAATATATTATATAGAAGAATTTAAATTATTGATATATGAAAGTCTAGAAAAAATATAGCATTGGAAATTTCCTAGATAGAAGAATTTACGCATCCTATGATGATTCGCGCAATGAAATCATTACTGTACAATAAGAAACTGATGTTCTCATTACCTTAAAAAGATATTCATTACACATAACATTATCCTTTCTCATTACTGTAATATATGAGTATATGAATTTTTATATTATTACGCCATTACCGTACTGAAACCTTGCAGATTGATAATATATAACTTTGCCATTGTTATTTGCGTAGGTTTCTGACTCCTTGCAATTAGCAATATCAGTAATTTTTGCGTTTTTACAGATATGTTATACCATACTGCTTTGTAACTGTAAAATGAAATATCGTGAAGAAATTATTTTTTTAAATATTCCAAATAGCTTTATCTTACGCTGCAATCGAAACTTCGAGGCTATGATCGATCACTTGTTGTCCTGCCCAACTATTGAAAAATAATCGACAACTTTGCATTATCACGAGGGCCACGTATCGCACAATTTCAGATGATCCTATCCGAATCACGATCTGTAAAACACAATTATTGGTCTTGAAAAAAATGTCAGTAAATATTAACAATTAGAAAAGTGTATTTAAATTATCTTTGTCGGAAGTTTAAACTGAAGCTCTAAAATTTAAATATTATTATTCTTACCATTATGCATGAAGAAGTATGCAGTAAAAATCCTCCTCCGATATCAAACAGAAGAAATAACGCAAATGTAGATTCCATTGTCTCTATGAATCTGGATTGATAAATATTATCAAGATCTAAGTGAAATTTTAATATAGGTAGAATCATATCCAGACAGACAAATTGACATATGTAAGATAGATGTATACATATAAATAGAGATGTGTGCTACTTTCTTAAATTAAAATATTATCATACTAACAATTTTATTCTTTTGTGTAATTGAATACAGTGCCTCACACGTCGACCGATTTCGTCATGCTGGTACGTGTAATTATCATATGTTGTTATTTTCTCTAGGCGATTACTGTAAAAATTATATCTATCTATTTTTATATATTCAATCTAATTTATAATTTACACTTTTACATGTGAATTTTATGATATTAATTTTTTTATTATATTAACAATTATTATTATTTAATTATGTGTGGACAAATTATAAAATTATTAATATTAATTCCAATTCTCACCATAATATATTGTACATTCCGCAAATATGCACCACCATTACAACGTACATGGTGTCGGTAGCTACCGCGATCATGAGACATACGATATAACCGAGATATGTATTCAATAGTATCAAGTAATAATGCTTTTCTAGGTCGAGAACAACGTAGTCCATTGAATGTTGCATTTTTCTGGGTCTTGTTTCGTTTAGAGGTGAAATAATGTCGAGTATAGGTTCAATAAGAGGTAGGAAAGCATAACAGCATACAAATCCGATTACACAAACTAAATAGAAAGACAAGAAAAATTATATTTCTTTTTCCTTTCTTTCTAATAAAAAACGCATCGCAAAAATTAATAAAAAAATTATTTTAAGAATAAATTTGAAAGTGAAATTAATAATTATATGGTATTTGCGAAATTAGATTTTGTACTTGAATACAGCAATGTGAATTTTCGACTATTTTCGGCGTAACGCGTTAAAATCTGTGTTTCTTCGATCGTTAATAAACTGTCCCAGTCCTCGCATGTCTGTCGCAGGAGCATCTTAAACTGAAACGATATTCGAAACGATATTCCAAAATGAGTCAATAAGCTGCTCAAGATGATCATACTTACCTTCTCGACGTTATAAGTCAAACTAATGACTTTCATAATACATATCACTGTGCCCGTTAGAGTTGGCATGAGTTCAAGCATCTTATCTAACTCATTCGCATTCTTGAACAAATATACAATCTAACAATAAACAATAAATTTATGATTCGTTGACTTTATTTTAAACATATTTAGATAAAATCATATTTGTGTCTAAATAATTTTGATACACAAAGACTGTTATTTGATTTGATTATTTAATATTTAAATATTAAATAAAGATTTTTTTAACATATTTCTCTTTATATTTGTTAATTTGCTTTGCTATTGGTATTATCCAATGAACTACCTGCGGTAGACACATTGTCGTAAGGCCATATATGGCGAACGAGAGAGTTAGTAATTTTATAAAAGGCGTTTGAGATGGCCACAGGCCTATGAAAGACAGAAGAAACTTGTTAATTTTAAAATATCGCGTATCAAAGAGATCCATGTCTTTGTTATATTGAATAAGAATACGTAAATGATTTGCCTCGCGTTAGAATAGTATTTCTATCACACCCCACTTTCTTTCTCTATAGCTTCTTTAATATTCCGTTAAAAGTATATCCTGGCGAGTGTATAGTTTAGCGCTTCATCGATGGAACATAGACTTTAACCAGAAAAAATTGTATGAATAAATAAAATTTATGATAGTGTCGTAGTAGGTTTTAAAGCTTTGAAGATGTTTTGCATTATTATTTTATGTCCTGAGTATCACAAAGCACTCTATTAGATATCGTATCGATTAATGTCTTAATGTCTCTCATTTGTTCAAGAAATTGTATATTGTTCATAATATACATATAAAGACAACAAATAATAAAAAAAAGTTTAAGATAAAACTATTCTCTTTGTTTATGCAGAACATACATGTTGGATCAAGTGATTTGTGACAAAACAAATTTATTTTAAGCAGTATATCATTGCTCGTTCCTTATACATATAATCTTCATGTAAAACCGATTATTTATATTACATACCACCCTTATCCAATTGTAGAAAAATATATAATGGACAATAATAAGAACAATATATCATTATGATAATTTCAAGTCGGTAAACATTTAAAAAACATTTTCTTGTTATTGTAAAAAGTGGATATTTAATCGATTGATAACTTTCATGTTGTGACGATTATAGATCTTTGGTGGAGTGAACGAAAATTATGTGAAATATATCGAAATTATAAATCTGTCTACTGAACAAATAAAATGTCGAAAACGTGTACAAACATAAAGACGTATATAAAATCTAAAATTTTTTAGTATTTTATTTTTTAGTATTTTATTTTTTATTTATGTTGAAGAAATACTTTCTTTTAATTTTTTGCAAAATTTCAGAAATAAAATACATCTATAATTCATATTTTTAATGTCAAATATGTCGCTTTATGATAATAATAATCATGCCTTTTAAAATACAATGATTTGCTAATGACTTTTCTATAGATATGATATTTTGCGAAGATGTTTATAATATAATTACAACAGCATTTTTATTTCATTGCTAATATGGCGGTAAAGTACGACATGGCTGTTTGCATTACCTTAAAATCAAATATCAATCTATTACGTTAGGTAAAATTATAAAAATTATTTTATTTTTACGTATGAAAGACATACCGAACTGCACATTGTCATGGACATAACAAATAATTTTCCAGCCGAGAGCGTACATGGAACGAAACTTCTGTAAAGAAGAATCCTCAATAAATTCCTAGTTTTCAAAGAAAATGTATACCATTCAGAATTGCACCTAAAAGACAAAAATCTATCTTTTTATAAATTTTTATTAATTATGACATATATTCATTTTTGATTAACAGAAAGAATTAATGAAAGAAATTATCTTCTATGAAAAAACTATTACAACTATTGCACTTAATTCTTGAATGCAAGATTTCTTAATAATTTACATAAATTTGATTAGCAGAACAATGAGTGATATTAGAAGAAAGTTATGGAAATTCAATTCGCAAGATCTTAAAAGTTTTTTTATTCCATAAATTGAAAAACTATATCTAAGAATTAAAAAACTGAACAAACTCGGATTCTTACGCTTTATCGAAAACTTCTATGCTTCGATCAATTAATAATTGTCCAGGAACACACATACATATAAGATGAGTAAATACAGCGACAGTTACAAAAACATATCTTATTACTTCTCCAATATGATCCAAGTTATTGATAAGCTATAAAATTTGTGTTTAATTTATAGCAGTATCATGCTATAAAATTCTTTCTAAGATATACGCATTTGTCTCAAAAATTCTCTCTTTCTCTTTCTTACCTGTATTCCAATCACACTCAAAATCAGCACATTCATTGTTAAAACACACAACGTCACATGAGTGAACATGGAGTCCAATATCTGGACATGTCTAAGAGATTGAATAAAATAATTTAATGTAAATGAAACGAGAAAATTTTAGATTATATGATTAAATGAGTCCGTTAAAATTGTTAATGTCACTGTTATGTCGATAACAAAATTTCGCTTGGTACAGACTCTAATGCAAATTGATGTTTTCTCAAGCACGTTATCAATTCATGGTAATCACTGCCAACAGAACCGTGTGACTCCTTGAGTAAATAATAATACTTCTTTGTGTTTGGTTTTTTGTCGTTCGTCCTGTCAGTAATATTTTCAAGACGCTGGCTTGGAAATGAAACATTGTAAATTATTGCGCAATCTATATTCTCATATATATTCTCCAATTTTATTTGTTCGAGATTAAAGATAAACTTTCGGAAACGCGTTTCTTAAATTTTTAAAAGATATAAATAATTATTGATATAATTGTTTTTAATTTTACTTACCCAATAGCTGTAAATAGACTGCAAGCATGCAGTACACACACTATGTACGTGGTATCGACGGTGAACAAAATTGTAAGTGTAATTGATGTCGAAATATAGGAATGACATAAAATTGAATAATAATATTTCTCCTTGTCCACTCTGTATTCAGCTTGATATACAAATGTCAATGATCGTGATTCATTCAATGGAATTATGATATCCAAAACTCTTGGTATTAATGGAATTAGTAAATAAAATATCACAACAAAGATAAAATAAACTAAAACAGAAGCATATGTATATTGCTTGTTACTGTATCAATTAGTGAAAAATAATTTTTTTTAACATGAATGTTTTATAATTTTATATAAATATTTCAAAAATGTGTAAAATTTTAGAAAATATTAATCTTAATAAGAAAAAAAATTTTGTCTATTTATACTGAAAAGCCATAATAATATCCTTGCAATTCGATGATCTTTCTTTGTAAATTTAAAAATCAATTCAAAAAATAATTATTTCTGTACCTCCAAAATAATTTGTTAATTTTCGGCCGATATTAGCGTAATATCTCAAGGTATGATGTTCGAATTCACTATTAAAAAGCTTCCAATGATCGTTCATAAGTTGCAATAAACATTGGAACTGATCAATGCAAAAAAAAAGTATTAAGTATTAGCAAATATAAATTATTGATATTGATTTGACAAAAATCTCACTTTGCCATTGTTCACAACGATATTAAATAATTTTAAGTTAGAAGTCAATATCGGTATAGTAGTAATTATAACTTCAACAAAAATATCTATATCACCCCAAGTATCGTATAAAAGGAGCACCTGGGAAGAAAAGTCGATGATTATATTGATAACATGCATGTATATTTTAAAATGCATGTATATCTGATAAGACAAATATATTTCTTATAAGAAAGAGAAATTGAATTAAATCAAATAATATATCTTAATCGATCATTTTCTAATACAATTACATTATTATTTGGATAATTAGTACGACATTACCTCGGTTGCAATGACAGAATATTGCACCATTGTTAAGAGACACGGTATCAATACCTTCAGTACTTTACGCTGATATGGCCAACCACCGATTCGTGACAAAAAGAATTTATTAATGGCATAGTATTCTTCCATATATGAATTCATGTCGTATGCAGGTTTTTGTACAAATGTACTCTCGCGAATTGTTCTCGATGTTAAATGTATGTTATAAGGAAAAGAAGACGAAGAACAATATGATTACAATAATATTGGATTGTCAATGCGATAATTTCGGATTGTCAAACGTATCAAACGAATCGTGAAAGGTTTATACGTACGTATATATTAAATTGATCGATACAGAACAGTACACCTGTTTTACGACACTTTGTAATAGAACTTGGATCTCACAGTATAGAAATTATACAGAAATTATAACCTGTCTACAAAGTGAATAGAAAATAATTTTTTTAGTAGGAAATATTGGTGTTTTCAGATAAATACGAGAAGATTTATGTGCAGAATATATATGGTCTTTGACATGGTTATTAATTATTAATAGATATTTTATCAGTGATGAAATTATATGATATTTGTAAGCAATATCTATACCTTACGCAATTTTTAAGAACGAAAGAAATTAGTCTTTATTTTAACGTTAACATAACAATTATTGAAATGAATTATAATTTAAATTTAAAAAGTTAAATGTATGTATTATTTAAATGTTATAAATCCGTATAAACCTGTTAGCATAAGTGTTAAATAAAAATTTTATTAATTAATTACATTTTTAGTTTTATTTTACAAAGGTGCATTATATTAATATAAACTTTTAAGATACCAATACTTATCGAAAAGATGCCAATATTGAAGTAGGACATTGCTATCTGCATTATCTAAAGAAATAGAGGATATCAGCAAATTTTTATAGACTTTATTTTTAAAAACGCGCTTTGTAAATGACAAATTTTTTTCAGTTTCTTTGTATCGTACAAAAGTTCTCCAACGACATTACGAAGAGTTTTCCAGCCATTAGTTTGCATGGTATGCGACTTCTTATTAAAATCAGTATAATATCCTTCTGTATCTTGGTAGACATATTATACCAGAGACATGAATACCTGCAAATCTGGTGCTTATAATATTCGATGTGTTTCTGTAGCAATCGCTTCCGATCACTCACGTTAATTCGTGAACGTTCGAACTTTGATCTAATAAATACTGTGCCATTAAGCTGAGAAAGAACAAGTGAATCAGTTGGCCACATATAAACATAATACACATCGCCATTGCGTCCCATTGGAACAGTTTGCTCAATAACTGTAGAAGAACAAAGAAATATTAGATGTTTGAAATATTAGATGTTATGTACCAAAATCTTTTTTATCCAGACTTACTTGAACCGCTGAGATACTTATGTTGATTAGATTTATAAACTTAATATGGTGAGGAAACTCCACGTGTAAATGCAGTGCAATAATTGCACAGAACTGATTAATGAAAAAGATATATAAGGTTTACATTTAAGAAAGATATTAAAAAAATGATTAATTAAAAAATAAAGTAATGTTTTGTAGCAAGAATATAATTTATTTAAATAAGAAATTGTAATTTTAATAGATATATTTCCGTGAAGAATGATGTAACATATATGTCATGTTTTCCCAAGATTATGATTGTACGTATATAATATTTCTTATTAAGTAATTTTATTTGAACTACAAAACTACTTTTGTAACAAACTGTTTACTTTACAAAAAAGAGATATATTTAGTAAAAAGCATCTTATCTGAATACCAACTTTATTGCTCTTTGATGATTAATAACGCATTCTCTTACAATAGCAGCTTGCTCTTTCTATTTTAACCGCTCATCATATTCATAATATTTAACATTAGTGAACGAGAGAGTTAATATATTTATTAAAGGCGTTTGAGATGGTCACAGGCCTATGAAAGACAGAAGAAACTTGTTAATTTTAAAATACCGCGTATCAAAGAGATCTTATTATATTGAATAAAAGTACGTAAATGATTTGCCTCGCGTTAGAATAGTTTTCTATCACACACCCCACTTTCTTTCTCTATAGCTTCTTTAATATTTCGTTAAAAGTATATCCTGGCGAATGCATAGTTTAGCGCGTCATCGATGGAACGTAAACATTTTAATCAGAAAAAACTGTAATGTATGAATAAATAAAATTTATGATAGTGTCGCGGTAGGTTTTAAAGCTTTGAAGATGTTTTGTATTATTATTTTATGTCCTGAGTATCACAAAGCACTCTATTAGATATCGTATCGATTAATGTCTTAATGTCTCTCATTTGTTCAAGAAATTGTATATTGTTCATAATATATAAAGACAACAAATAATAAAAAAAAGTTTAAGATAAAACTATTCTCTTTGTTTATGCAGAACATGTTGGTTCAAGTGATTTGTGAAAAAACAAATTTATTTTAAGCAGTGTATCATTGCTCGTTCCTTATACATATATAATCTTTATGTAAAACCGATTATTTATATTATACATACCACCCTTATCCAATTGTAGAAAAATATATAATGGACAATAATAAGAACAATATATCATTATGATAATTCCAAGTCGGTAAACGTTTAAAAAACATTTTCTTGTAAAAGGTGGATATTTAATCAATTGATAAGGAATTTTCATGTTGTGACGATTATAGATCTTTGGAGGAGTAAAAGAAAATTATGTGAAATATATCGAAATTATAAATCTTTTTTCTGAACAAATAAAATGTCGAAAACGTGTACAAACATAAAGACGTATACAAAATCTAAAATTTTTGTGTATTATATTTTTTATTTATGTTGAAGAAATACTTTCTTTTAATTTTTTGCAAAATTTCAGAAATAAAATACATCTATAATTCATATTTTTAATATCAAATAATGTCGCTTTATTATGATAATAATATGCCTTTCAAAATACAATGATTTGCTAATGACTTTTCTAGATATGATATTTTGCGAAGATGTTTATAATATAATTGCAACAGCATTTTTATTTCATTGCTAATATAGCGGTAAAGTACGACATGGCTGTTTGCATTACCTTAAAATCAAATATCAATCTATTACATTAGGTAAAATTATAAAAACTATTTTATTTTTATATATGAAAGACATACCGAACTGCACATTGTCATGGACATAACAAATAATTTTCCAGCCGAGAGCGTACATGGAATGAAACTTCTGTAAAGAAGTATCCTCAATAAATTCCTAGTTTTCAAAGAAAATGTATACCATTCAGAATTGTACCTAAAAGACAAAAATCTATCTTTTTATAATTTTTCATTAATTATATGAATTATATTAATTTTTGATTAACAGAAAGAATCAATGAAAGAAATTATCTTCCACGAAAAAATTATTACATATTGCACTTAATTCTTGAATGCAAGATTTTTTAATAAATTTTACATAAACTCGATTAGCAGAACAATGAGTAGTGATTAGAAGAATATGGAAATTCAATACGCAAGATCTTAAATTTTTTTTTAATCCATGAATTAAAGAATTATGTCTAAGAATTAAAAAACTGAACAAAACTCGGATTCTTACGCTTTATCAAAAACTCCTGTGCTTCGATCAATTAATAATTGTCCAGGAACACACATACATATAAGATGAGTAAATACAGCGATAGTTACAAAAACATATCTTATTACTTCTCCAGTATGATCCAATTTATTGATAAGCTACAAAATTTGTGTTTAATTTATGGCAGTATCATGCTATAAAATTCTTTCTAAGATATATGCATTTGTCTCAAAAATGCTCTCTTTCTCTTTCTTACATGTATTCCCATCACACTCAAAATCAGCACATTCATTGTTAAAAGACACACCGTCACGTGAGTGAACATGGAGTCCAATATTTGGACATGTCTAAGAGATTGAATAAAATAATTTAATGTAAATGAAACAAGAAAATTTTAGATTATATGATTAAATGAGTCCGTTAAAATTGTTAATGTCATTGTTATGTCAACGACAAAATTTCGCTTGGTACAGACTCTAATGCAAATTGATGTTTTCTCAAGCACGTTATCAATTCATGGTAATCACTGCCAACAGAACCGTGTGACTCCTTGAGTAAATAATAATACTTCTCTGTGTTTGGTTTTTTGTCGTTCGTCCTGCCAGTAATATTTTCAAGACGCTGGCTTGGAAATGAAACATTGTAAATTATTGCGCAATCTATATTCTCATATATATTCTCCAATTTTATTTGTTTGAGATTAAAGATAAACTTTCGGAAACGCGTTTCTTAATTTTTTAAAGGTATAAATAATTGTTAATATAATTGTTTTTAATTTTACTTACCCAATAGCTGTAAATAGACTGCAAGCATGCAGTACACACACTATGTACGTGGTATCGACGGTGAACAAAATTATAATTATAATTAATGTCGAAATATAGGCATGACACATGATCGGATAATAATATTTCTCTTTGTCCACTCTATATTCAGCCTGATATACAAATGCCAATGGTCGTGATTCATTCAATGGAATTATGATATCCAAGACTCTTGGTATTAATGGAATTAGTAAATAAAATGTCAAGACAATAATAAAATAACTAAAAAAGAAGCACATATATATATATATATATATATATGTGTGTGTGTGTGTGTGTATATATATATATATATATTGCTTGTTATTGTATCAATCACTGAAAAGTTTTTTTAACATGAATATTTTATAATTTTATATAAATATTGCAAAAATGTGTAAAACTTTGGAAAACATTAATCTTAATAAGAAAAAAAATTTTGTCTATTTATACTGAAAAGCCAAAATAATATCTTTGCAATTGTAATAGTCGATGATCTTCTTTTTGGAAATTCAAAAAATTATTTCTGTACCTCCAAAATAATTTGTTAATTTTCGGCCGATATTAGCATAATATCTCAAGGTATGATGTTCGAATTCGCTATTAAAAAGCTTCCAATGATCATTCATAAGTTGCAATAAACATCGCAACTGATCAATGCAGAAAAGAAAAGAATTAAATATTAGCAAATACAAATTATTGATATTGATTTGACAAAAAACTCACTTTGCCATTATTCACAACGATATTAAGTAATTTTAAGTTAGAAGCCAATATCGGTATAGTAGTAATTATAACTTCAACAAAAATATCTATATCACCCCAAGTATCGTATAAAAGGAGCACCTGGGAGAAAAGTCGATGATTATATTGATAACATGCATGTATATCTTAACATGCATGTATATCTTAAAATGCATGTATATCTGATAAGACAAATATATTTCTTATAAGAAAGAGAAATTGAATTAAATCAAATAATATTTTAATCGATCATTTTCTGATACATTTACACTATTATTTGAATAATTAGTACGACACATTACCTCGGTTGCAATGACAGAATATTGCACCATTGTTAAGAGAGATGGTATCAATACCCTCAGTACTTTACGCTGATATGGCCAACCACCGAGTTGTGACAAAAAGAATTTATTAATGGCATAGTATTCTTCCATATATGAATTCATGTCGTATGCAGGTTTTTGTACAAACGTACTCTCGCGAATTGTTCTCATTGTTAAATGTATGTTATAAGGAAAAAGAGACGAAGAGCAATGTGATTACAATAATATTGGATTGTCAATCGTATCAAGCGATAATTTCGGATTGTCAAACGTATCAAACGAATCGTGAAAAGTTTATACGTACGTATATATGAAATTGATCGATACAGTACATCTGTTTTACGGCACTTTGCAGTAGGACTTGGAACTCACAGTATAGAAATTACACAGAAATTATAACCTATCTACAAAGTGAAAATAATTTTTTTAGTAGAAAATATTGGTGTTTTCAGATAAATACGAGAAGATTTATGTGCAGAACATACATAGTCATTGACATCGTTATTAATTATTGATAGATATTTTATCAGCGATGAAATTATATAATACAGTAATACTTGTAATATCTATACCTTACGCAATTTTTAAGAATGAAAGAAATTTCTTTAGTCTTCTTAATCTTTATTTTAATGTTAACATAACAATTATTGAAATGAATTATAATTTAAATTTAAAAAGTTAAATGTGTGTATTAATTAAATGTTATAAAGCCGTAAACTCGTTAGCATAAGTATTAAATAAAAATTTTATTAATTAATTACATTTTTATTTTTATTTTACAAAAGTGCATTATTATAAACTTTTAAGATGCCGATACTTATCGAAAAGATGCCAATACCGTGAAATAGGACATTGCTGTCTGCACTATCTAAAGAAATAGAGGATATCAGTAAATTTTAGACTTTATTTTAAAAACACGCTTCATATAAATGACAAATTTCTTTCAGTTTCTTTGTACCGTACAAAAGTTCTCCAGCGACATTACAAAGAGTTTTCCAGCCATTAGTTTGCATGGTATGCGACTTCTTATTAAAATCAGTACAATATCCTTCTGTATCTTGGTGGGCATATTATACCAGAGACCTGAATACCTGCAAATCTGGTGCTTTTAATATTCGATGTGTTTCTGTAGCAATTGCTTCCGATCACTCACGTTGATTCGTGAACGTTCGAACTTTGATCTAATAAATACTGTGCCATTAAGCTGAGAAAGAACAAGTGAATCAATTGGCCACATATAAACATAATACACATCGCCATTGCGTCCCATTGGAACAGTTTGCTCAATAACTGAAGAAGAACAAAGAAATATTAGATGTTTGAAATATTAGATGTTATGTACCAAAATTTTTTTTATCCAGACTTACTTGAACCGCTGAGATACTTGTGTTGATTAGATTTAAACTTAATATGGTGAGGAAACCCCACGTGTAAATGCAGTGCAATAATTGCACAGAACTGATTAATGAAAAAGATATATAAGGTTTACATTTAAGAAAGATATTAAAGAAATGATTAATTAAAAAATAAAGTAATGTTTTGTAGCAAGAATATAATTTATTTAAAATAAGAAATTGTAATTTTAATAGATATATTATAGATAGATATATATAGATAGATATATTTAATAGATATAATAATATATTTCCGTGAAGAATGATGTAACATATATGTCATGTCTTCCCAAGATTATGATTGTACATATATAATATTTCTCATTAAGTAATTTTATGTGAACTACAAACTACAAAACTACTTTTGTAACAAATTGTTTATTTTCTCTTTACAAAAAAGAGATATATTTAGTAAAAAGCACCCTATCTGAATACCAACTTTATTGCTCTTTGATGATTAATAACGCATTCTTTTACAATAGCAGCTTGCTCTTTCCATTTTAACCGCTCATCATATTCATAATATTTAATATTATGATTATGATTCTCGAAAGATTGCATAGTATGTTTTTTGATCGAATCGGCAACATGCTCCAATTTATATCTGCAAGTTAAGAAATTATTTTATCTTTTATGCACAAATATTTTATACTCGAAAAAAACAAAAAACAAAAGAATATTTTATTTAAGTCTAAATAAGTCTTAATAATTCTTAAATAACGTATTATTTTTTTATAATTAAAATAGCGGCTTCTGAAAAATTCGATTATCCTTTTGATCGTCATACAAATTTTTTTAAAGAGCTTTGATTTTTTATTCACAATTTATCTAGCGAAAGGTACTTAATATTTTTATTTTATATTTTTATTTTAATTTTTTAAATTGTTGCAGGTTGTGAATCAATCTACTGTCGTTGTCGGCAATAAATAAATACAAACTGATACAGAATTATCTTCGGCGCTTACCTGACAATTGCAAATAGGCAGCAACCATGAATAGTAAGTGTGACGTACATCAAATCCGCGCCAATGATATTTATTATAGTCGCCATTGATGTCATACTGCTGTGCATCCATAACCATAGCCAATGGGTCTGAAGATCAATCCCGTAATCGAGGTCGAAGGCCAAGCTTCTCGTACGCGTTTCGTTATGGGGTACTATGATGTCCAACACCGGCGAGATCATCGGTGTCATGATAAAACACATGAGTCCATTACACAACGTAGCTGAAAAGGCAGGTGTAACAATACACACATATGCGTTCGCTACGTCTGATGTCGCTCGTCATACTTGAATAAACGATGCACAACATCCTCGCCTTCGACGTGTAATTACTTAAAATCTTGTACTCTTCCGCATTCGGATTTATTTTCCAGTCTACTTCGATCTGGCGCAACAGCATTTTAATCTGAAACGGCATTTCATAAAGGGACGCGCGACTTTTAATTCAGAAGCATATTTATATCAATTTTATTCGCGTTTCGCGCTAAAAACGAACGACATAAAACAATAACGAACAATAATTAATACCTCCGTATCATATCGAGCGCTCGTTATTACTTTAGCCATGCTTACTAAGATAGTCATGATAGGCGGTACACACATGCACATTGCATCTATGTCTTTTCCCCATACGTCGTAGAGTCTCTTCACCTACATCAATAATCGATATAAATGATAATTTCCGGTGTTTCTCCGATGATTTTTTTTTTAAAGGATATTTAAAAATAATATTGTCTATCCGTACAATTAATCTGCGCGGAATTTCAAAGTACATTAATAATACTTTGCAATTTTTTTGACATAAGCGCCTATATTTTACTCATACAAAATAGTTGCTTTACCTGAGGCGGAAAAAACGTGAACATTATGAACATGCTGATAGATTGGATGATTCTTCTCTTAAGTTGCGACTGATACGGCCACATACCGACCACCGAGGCAAACAGTTTTGTTACACTATAATAGCGCGTGTCGAATACCGCACTCATATTAATCCACTGACGAATTGGAAATTTGTGAAGGAAAAATTGTACGAAGGAACATCGGCGAGGGAAATAAAGTTCAGCGTACCAGAATCATCGATAGACGCGCGTATTCCCGTCGTGACATTTTGACAAGCTATACTTAACGGAATTGCATCTTTCGAAATATGAATTTTTTACACGTTAATGAGATGAAAAAAAGCAAGAGAAACATAAAAAAAATGATAGGCATGAGAGATGTGTCTAATATGTACCAAAGAAAAATAGAGTCTTAATTCTGAAAAATCGCAGTTCAGTTTCCAAGATAGAAGCGCAAATTAGATAATTTTTTCTAAATAATCTTTTCTAGTGAATCTATTGAAAATCTATTTTGGTCCACTTGTTTACCATTTACATCAGTTTCATTTTAAATTATCAAGATATTTTGCATATAAGAATTTTTCGTAGTATCTTTACAATTTCGTACAATTTCGTGGAAAGATATATCGCCTGGTGAATGATTCAATTTTAAATGATTAATTTTTTTTAATTGTGGAAATTATCAAATATATTTTCGGAAATACATCGTATATAATTTTGAGTATTTAAGAATTTTACAGTATGAAACTACAAAAAATATTTAATTACAGAAATATTATTTCATAGAAGAAAACGCCATGAAATAAGATATGACGGTCTGCGCCATCTTAAACAAAAAACATTTTTTTTTCTTCATTGCAGTATAGCTTGTACAAATAAGCATTATATACGTACATTATCTCTAAAAACAAATCGTGTACAAATTTGCAATACATGCGATAATGGTGCTTACCGCGCTATAATTGGCCATTGACATCATGTATATTTTTCCAGCAGTCAACATGCACGTTACTTCTGTAAAGCAATATCTGTAATAATTTCTTAGTTTGTGAAGAGAACGCGTACCAACGTGACCTGCAACTGAGATATCTCTTTTTAGAAAGAGTTAATTATTTTTTTGTACTTATATATATTTTCCATTGTTCAAATTATATCTTAGAAATAATACAAACAGTATTTTAGTACATGCAAAATTTGATAATATCAAACTCAAAATACGAGAATTACTATCATATCGTGGGAAATTGTACTTTCTAATAGACATTGTAGCATCTAATAACTTCAGTGATTTAGTACATAATCTACTGTCTATTAAATAATATGCTAATCATTATATCAGAATATTCAACAAGTAGCATAATTTCTCAACGATATTTTTCCTGATTCTTATTCTTTCTATCAAATATTACATAATAATTTTACGCGCTATTAAACACGTCTTCGCTGTGATCCATCAATCTTTGCCCCGGCAAAGTCATGCACAGAAAATGGAAAAACGTCGCTATACATATAAGGAAGTATCTAATAAAGGTATCTAATAAAAGTATCTAATAAAATTTTCAGTATTGTTGATGTTACTGGTTACTTAAGTGAATAGAATTGTTATCAACAATATATATAAAAATATCTACGAGTTTTATCTTAATATATGGAAAGAACGGTTTTATTGAAGTATCTAAATATGAGCAGATTTAAAAATAACTTTCTTGGATTATTATAATTATTATATAGGATGTTTAAATGTAATGATAATAAATTTTCTATATTCTATTCTAATTTGAACATTATTATTTTAATGGCTTGATAAAATTACTTTCAGATCTGATGAGCAAAACTGTTCTTTCCGTGCATATATACTCCATGAGATACTTGCTTGAAGTCCTATAAGACTCATGGCTAATACACTTAATAACAATTGGATACCTGTCGATAATGTGAAAGAAAACATTCTAATAACTGGCAACGAAAATAGTTTGTAAATTTAGTAATAATTAAAATATATATGATAAGAAATAAATTGATCTCTCAGCTAAGACAATTTTGGAAAAATTAAAAAAATTTTTTGTTCTAGTTTTTCAATAGCATAATGATTATTAATCAGAAAACGAGTACAAACTGTATTGCAAGCTGATGTTTTCGCAAGCACGTGATAAATTCGCGAAAAATTATCCTCTCTTTAAAGCAAACATTTTCGATTTTTTCATCTTGATATATGTTTTTTCTTTGTTTTTCGCAAAGTAATCCATTTTATCGACGTATTCTTTCGAAATTATATAATTTAATCGATATCGGGTTAAATTAATAATTAATTAATATATGCAAATACAATAAATAAATTTTTGAAATATAAAACTGATTTATTTTCAAAAGTTCAAAAATTGACAAATTCAAAAGTTTACGTAAAAATGTAGACTATAGTTAATATTATAGAATTGTGTTTACCCAATTGCTGCAAATAAACTGCAATCAGTTGCACGTATGCTATATATGTGGTGTCGACCATACCATGCACACCATAATTGATATAATCATTATAATCGTTATATAAGAATGAAATAAGATAATAATATTTCTCCCGATCTACATGGTACTCCAATGGGAAACGTACTTTCGCGGACGACTCTCATTGAGAGGCACTATAATGTCCATGATCTGCTGGTAACACTGGTATTGTCAAATACAACATCATTGATATTATGTAAATATAAACTGCGAACAACGATTGACACCGCTACTGCTTAACTCTTTCTTTTAGATATAGCTGGTGTAATAATTACGATAGTAGCGTACTGTTTGCGAGATGAATGAATTTACGACTCATTATGTTTAATCATGATCAAACATGAAAGCCAAAGAAAACGGTGTAGCTTACTTGCATAAAATATTACTACTTTTCTACAGAACACGACATAATTCTGCATAATCTCGACATCTGTGGAATTGATAAACACGGTATTCCAGTGGTATTCAATCAGAGATAACAAGTGCCGCATCTAAACAGTATATATAAAGGTTGAGTAAGCGTAAGATGCAATGTACTTCAAATACGATTTAATTATACCTCCTTCATCTTAAAAATAAGATTGAATAACTTCGTAAAGCAGCCGATTAGTATTATCGTCGAAACTATGCACTCAACTGCGATATCAATATTACCCCAACCCCAAGCATCGCACATTCGTTATTATCTAGATAAGAAAATAAAGCATGTTGCTATAAAACAGTTATTTAAAAAAATCGTCAAAGAACCCGCCGCATTTTTCAATAATGACGAATAATTATTATTATTTAAAAGTTAAATATCAGCTGAAAAATCGACGAGTGAAAGATTCAAATCAGATGTTACTGATTCTGATTTAGGGATCTTATACTTTTTAAAGATAAACGAAACAAATTTAATCTATTAAATGTTAAATCGGATAATTGTTAAATCGGATGCTGTGAGGCAGCATGATGTCGATTAACACTATTGAGCTCAGTATTAATATCCTTATATTCCTATCGCTGATAGGGCCAAGCGCCGATTTGTGACATGAAAATCTTGTTAATGCTGTAGTAACGTAGTATGACCGATTGCATGATGAACTGCCGCAATAGTAGAAGATCGATGAATAAAACGACGAGGACATTGTACATGTATACAGAACGTATCATCAAGTTCTCTGATGCGGTTGATGTTCTTAATGACACTTTGTCAGTTATTCATTCGTGTACCATCTCATTTAAAACAGCCATTCAAACAAACGGAAAACGTTATGTGACATTATCGATCCAAATGTATAGATGTAGTTCTTTTTTATCTTGCGATATCTTAACTTAAAATTTCAATAAGAAAGTTATTCTATATTATGGGAATCACAAGAGTATAAAAAATGAACTGCCTACACAGTTTATTCACAGACGCCTATTTATGACAATTGCGATAATTATTTTATATTTATTCGTTTATAATTCGGTTATTGTATAACTAGAATTATTAAATTTTCTTGTCTTGTCTGTTATCTATATTTTATAAAATGATTCTGAATTCTGAATGTTTTAATTATTCTCTAGTTCATTAACATTTATATAAAAATGAGGGAAACTGTGATAAGAAGTATATTTTAGGGATATATATATATATATATATATATTGAGATATTATTTTAGGAAGAGTTTTAGATTAGTTATCTACCGAGTTTTGTAAATTTTTTTCTTTCAAATTTCTTTGTCTCTTTGAAATCTATCTATAAAAAATAAATCAACGCTTGTAGTTTTAATAAGTTTTAATAAAATTCAAAATTTTTAGTTCAAAATTTCGATCTTAGAAGTTTCAAGTCCTCCATAATTGCGCATACATTGTAAGACTTAAATTAAGGAACATTGATAATAGTGTTACGTCCACGGCGGTCACTGACGATCTCATCCAACGCTAGGAAGCCGCGCTCGGCAATAAACAATGTCGTTTATAATACGATAATAAAATACGTAGGCCGCTAATAAAATACGTAGGCTTTATTCAAACTAATCAACAACAATTTGGCGGATACACATCTGTACATCACGAGTCACCGCGCCGTACTTTTTTTCGTAAACAACACAACCGGTGAGCGTTTCGCTTTTACTCCAAACGGCGGCTCGACTCCACTCGGCCGCAAAAGACTCGCGCTGGCATAACACTAGTATCGTTTAATGCAATTAAATATATTTAATACATTCTTTAAAGAAAATTATATAAATTTTACAATTGTACAAATACATAAAATGATTCTAAGAAGATATTTTTTCTAGAAGATAGTTTCTAATGATATAGTATAAAGACTTCTTACACATGTCAGATGATATGAATTATATAACTAATACTCTTCCTTGCATATTACTCGTTGTGTTTTTATAAAAATGTGATTGTTTGTACTTTCGTAAGCCGTATGTAAAAATTATTTATGTTTTTCTTTTTATTTATATAATTGTTTGCATTATCTAAAAAGATAAAAAATATAAATTCACAATATAATTTTTCTATTCATTAAAGATTACAACTTCCTGGATAGATTCTTTTTAGATTCATCCGTCTGATGCGATTTCTTATTAAAATAAAAAATACATTGTTCCTTTGAATTTTGACT